GCGGGAGTTCAAGGTAATGTTGAAGCTCTTTGGAGTCTAGAAATAGGGTTATTAGCTTTTTGAATCTGGTAAACGTATCACAGTTACGGATAGGCATTGGCAGCCTGTTCCACAATAAACTGTACCGTATTGTAAAGAACTTACAACGCATTTGTTTTTGGTGTTTTACGGTAAGTAGTGTATATGCGTTGTTTCTAAGTCTATAGGCTGGGTCGTGGGTGATAGTCGGGCAGGACGTAAGAAAGGAGAGCCCATATATCGCTTTGTAGAGAAATATTAAATTGTGTTTTAGCCTACGGTGCCATAAAGGTTCTAAAGATAGATGCTTACATCTGTCTGTGTAATCGAGATTCGAGTTACATCCTAGTAGTTGACGTGTAAAACGTCTTTGAACATCTTCTACTCTTATCTTGTCTGCGATATTCATATTAGAGAAGACAAAAGAGCAGTATTCAAGGGTGGGTCGTACACATATTTTGTAGAGAGTAAGTTTACCCTCTGTTGTGAAAAAGTTTTTCATTATAAAACCAATTAGCCGTCTAGATTTAGAAATAATAGAGGAGGCATGTTCTTCAAAGTTTAGGCTTCCTGTGTAATTAATTCCTAAATCGTGTACTGATTCGAGTGTTTGGACTATACATTCATTTAAGTGAAGTCGCGGTTTATATGGATGCTTTCCAAAGTGCATGATCCCGCACTTGTTGAGGTTAAATGGTAATTGCCATTTTTCACTCCATATAGTTAAGTTATTGAGGTCCTTTTGGATCAGAGATACACTTTCGCTTAGTGTCTCAGGCTTATAGCTGTATACTATTTTGAGATCATCAGCATATAAGTACGGTTTCCCAAATTCTATGGTGTTACATATATCGTTTATATACATAAGAAACAAAAGTGGCCCTAATACGCTTCCCTGGATGACTCCACTAATGATTGGTCTAGGGGACGAGAGACAGTCATTGTACTTTACCATCTGTTTACGTTCTGTTAAGAACGAAGCAAACCATGAGTACAGTGGGTTGTGTATTCCGAAGGACTTTAGTTTGACGAGTAGCCTTTTGTGTGGGACCTTATCAAAGGCTTTCTTAAAGTCTAGGAATAGGACTGATACAAGGAGTCCGCTGTCTCGTTTCAGAGTTATATCATTCAGGTAGTCTACTAGGCATGTATCGCATGATCTGGACCTAAGAAATCCATGCTGGGAGGTCGACAAGAGATTGTTAGTTAATAGATGTTGGACTACAGCCGCCTTAACTACTTTTTCCATTACTCTGGATACCACTGAAGTTATGTTTATAGGCCGGTAATTTTCAACGTTTGCTTCAGGTCCTGTTTTAATTTTGGGAATGATATGTGTAGTTTTCCAGGCAGTAGGGTAACACGCTGAAGAGAGTGATATCGCGAATATTTTGAGAAGCAAAACACACATATCATCACCTCCACGTTTTAGCATGCTAGATGGAATACCATCTGGTCCATCAGTGTAGGAGTGTTTCAATGTACTGATTGCTTTGGAGATATTTTGTAGGATAGGGTACCTACCAGGGATGGTTTGATTATTCAGACGGCGGTGGTCATCACACGGACGCCAATCTTGGTCTTTCTTTGGTATCGTGTGTAACGGCGAGGCCCAAGGACTATTAGATGGTCTGATGATACCAAGCTGCATCATGTGTTCAAATTCCCTCTTAGCTGTCTGCAACTTTGTTGGTAGTAGTCTCCTCGCTCTGGTGCGAATGGGTAGTCCGGTGGTAGTGATGTGATGTTGCACGTGGTGTTGATCGCATTCTTCTTGACAGTCTATTTTCGTGATGCATTCGTATTCTGTAAGTATGTCGTTGAAAACGTTGTTCGCAGGCTTCATTATTCGTACACCATGGACTTCATAGTCGTTGGAAGGTGTACCATCTACCTGTAAACGTGTATTTGCGTCGATTAATCTCTTGTTGGTCATATCTACTAACAAATTGTACGCACTGAGGAAATCGGCTCCGAGGATGGGTCGTTTGACTTGAGCAACTATGAAAACCCATGTAAATCTTCTGCGGAGTCCGAGGTCTAATATAAGTGATTGTTCACCGTACGTTTCGATGATTGATTCGTTAGCCGCTATGAGAGACAGCTTAGTGCTTGTTGTTTGTTGTCTTCGGGAGAGATGAAGTGGGATAATGCTGATTTCTGCTCCTGTATCGACTAAAAAATCCGAGCCAGAAATACGATCCCTGATGTGAAAGAGGCGGCTAACGTGTTTGCCAGTAACAGACGCCGCCATTGCTGTCTGGCCGGCTCGCTTCCCTGATAGTCTGGCTTGCTTGTCGTAAAGTTGCACGGTTTTGTGCAACGACGTGCTTTCTCACCATAATTCGAGTGATACCAACAAATGCCAACTGCCCGTTTGGGTGACCTAAGGCGTTGTCTGGACACTGACCTTCTTTCGAACGTAGATCTAGCGGATCGAGGATGAATCGTTGCAATAGTCGCCTGAAGTGATGCTAACTGCCGTGTTAAGTGTGTTATCTGTTGCTGAATGTTGAGGGCGTTACTCATATCTTCTCTACTGAAGGATTGTACCGCGTTAATTCCGCGACTATCGGGATATATTTCCATCATCTTATCAGCCATATTAGCCCAATCGTCAAGTGTGACAGAGGTTCCTGAAATACTGAAAATTTGTCTAACATTATGTGGTAACTTTTGTAACCACATTTGCTTAAGTAGTGCCTCGTCTAGTTTGTATGGGCCGGCTAGCTGTCTCATGTGTCGGAGCACCTGTGAAGATCTCTTATCCCCTAGTTCGCATGAGGTAAGCAGTTGTTGTAAACGTCTTTCGTCTGAGAGCAATGTGCGTTGGATTAATGCAGCTTATATCTTGTCATAAGGGTCAGGTTCTGGTACGTTGTCGATCAGGTCAAACATTATCTTCTGGCTGTGATGAATGAAGGTGGTTGGTTGGTGGGCTATCTATATCAATAAGTTTACTAGGAGAGTCCATGGTGTGAAAAACAAAATGAACTAGTGTAACAAGTAAGAAAAATATAAACAGTATATGTAAGATCCATTTTGAATGCTTTGTGTGTTTGTGAAAATCCCTCCATGTATATACTTGCATTTTGTTCCTATTGATCCTCTTAGTTGTACATTGTTAACTTTTTGACTACATTTGAATTGGTAATATTTGTATTTTCTTATAAATTTCGTTTTTACTACACCTTCACTGATTCCCCATGTTTCTTCCCGAACTGCACTTATGTTGTTTTACTTTATACTAAGTCTGGGCGGCAGCCATTTTGGTTTATCCTTGCCTTGGATTGCTTGACCTGTGTTGACTGGAATTGTGCATTTTGGTTGTGAATTGAAGCACTCTTCCAGAATTGAAAACACTCTGTGTTATAGAGCGACCAATTATTACCTTTTGAACGAATCTGTACGTGATCTATCCAGACAGGATAGAATAACAGTTATTTGTGGTGATTGGTAATTTTCTTGCATCCTGTATCAACTTTCTTATTTATTGTAGTTTAGATTTGATCAATTGAACAATTATTGGTTGGATAGCTGAGTGGTTATATTTGTTTAGGTAATAATGTACACTTAAATTTATGATAAATTATAGAACCGCTATCTTACCCAATTGCTTTGTTTTGGTTTCAAACGGGCGAGGGCGCGTATCTAACTCATCCAGACAGCTGTCCGGCAGTCCAAACCATAGTTTGGATCTTACAGTATACGTCTATAGTAAACTGAATGCTTACCAAATAATTGTGGTGGACCAGACAGTTTTGAACGCAAAAAGTATCAACAAAGTTACTGAAGATCAATAGTAATATTAATATATACCAGTATATTGTTACAAATACAATAAAAATTTGGGACGTTACCTAAATTGACCAAATGTTGCGTGTTCTGATTGGGTGAGGAATGGTAAATCGACAATTATAAATGTTTGGTGATTCTGATCGCGTTGACGAACTCTCAAGTGATATAATCCAGCGTAGAATGTGATATATTCCAATTACAGTCTATAATTAATGATAGTATTTCATTTAGACTTCAGTTAACTCAATCACAGACGAAGATAGAACGAGGAATGTGTGAGTAGTAGTGCATTTGTTAGCCAACAAGAGTATGTCACGCTATGTCAGTACCATAACGTAAAGTGTGTTCAAGGTCATTGACTAAAACAACAGTTACAGTCATTTAATGATAAATATACATACAGTGAAAGGTTGACAAAGTAGATACAAATAATATTGAAAACTATTTGCAAAATAAGCTTGTCAGGCCTATCTCCACGGATGACTCACTATCTTCTGTCGCATAGGTGTGTATGTTTGGAAAAATGTGGTCCATAAATCAGTAGTGGGTGTCCCTCACTGTTGTTTCATGCAGTGCACCACTCAAGTTTTCACGTAGGATGGCTAATTTTAACGCCCTTTATTAAAGAGCTTAAAAAGCTCGGCATTACATAGAGTATTGTAGATATTTTAACAGGAGTCGAAAATAGAAATGGTGATAACAGTCAAAAGGCTTTAAATGCAAACTGATATATAGGATGAACTATCTGAATATGAAGTAAGCTGACTTTAACAACATGCCTACAAATGGTGAGTTCATGGAAGGGACCGAGCATTCTTACGATATTTAAAATCTAAAACAGTCAAAAAAGATTTTAAACTCCTAATAAATCACCACTAGGAATACTGAAGCCGAGTGACCGGAGAAACCTCATTAAATTGGAATTAAGAGATGAAGAATGGCTTATCACTAAAATTTAGATGCAAAGAAACCTGCTATATTTTATCTAAGCTCTACCCAAAGTCATTTGAGATAGTTTGATTTATGCACATTAAATCCTGTCACTTTTGTTCTTACATGTTATTTTAAAATCCCTGAGTAGCAATTTTGACATTAGTAAAAAAAGGTTTGCTTATTGTCTCTACTCAAAGACTTTTTAGTCATAGTGATTGACTTTGTTTAACTACTTAAGTTTATCGGTATTGATTGACCTTCTTAATGATGACTAATTTGAAGTAGCCAGAAGAGTATGTGTTTTTGTTCTTAAGAAATGTCACGTCAGAGTTTTTGCTCAACAATAGAGAAGCTTTGATATGTAACTGTGTTTGTAGGAGATAAGTAGATCAACTTTAGCAACTTCTCAATCCTATCGTTTTCGTACAACCAGACTCCGTAGTTTCTAAAGGCCTCTGTTAAAATCTTGACCAAAAGATATATGTAGTGGCCGTTCAATTGGTAGCTACTTGTTAATTCCAAAATTTCCTCATCTGCAGATTGTGGAAAGGCAAAAAAAATATGTGTAGAAACGTGGAAAATCGAACTTTAAGAAAGTGATACTTGGAATGTAACCTATTGAAAATAGACCTACCGCTGTTTCCACTTTTCAACACTCAAAAATGTGAGTACATTTGACTCTTCATTTTTTACATCAGCTGGTGTTTCGGTCAGAGGATAATAAACTGAAAATGTAACAATATTTCCTTGTCATCCAACCTAAAAACCCAATCTCACACTATCTTGGTTAAATTTTGTGGTTTTTCCACAAGTCGTAAGAAATATGGTAGTCTTCCTCAGAGTTTGAGAAAAGCTTCCAAGTGTTATAATATTCTGTGAAACTGTTGGGGAAATCCCAAAACTTTGGGGATTTTTCCCAGACCTGAGAAAATTTCAGGGTTTTGTGCCATCTCCCCAATGTTTTCTATAGTGTTTCCCCCAAAATTTACCCAAACCGGACAAAGTTTTTCTTAAAATAGAGCGATCGGAAATCTTCAAATACGTTCAGTCGATGATGTAGGGATAATTATGCATTGGCTTAGTTTTTTCTTTGAGCTTTTAGTATCTTCATTACTTTCCACTTTCGACTGCTTTAGTTGATAGTTCAAATTACTGATTTGTGGAAAAACAGTGTCATCAAATACGGTATCCATCCGTGCAAAACGTCTTACTGCAGCCACGCTCTAGCTCAATCAGAAATACGCCAATGTCATACTTGAATTTTGTCGTTTTCGGTCTGAGTAAGTGATGTATAGGTTAGGCAAACGGTACTTGGCATAGGTGACAAACCATTCGATAAACTAGTAAGATTTCACCGACCGAGGTAGTTAGGACGCCCGTTACGTATGCCTAACAACCACCTACTTCGACAAGTGATGCTCATTAATGCTAAAGTGGATTAGAAGAAAGCTAGGGGCGGACAAACCGAACGCGGCATCAGTCTATGAAATCACTGACTGTTAGTGTAAACCCTGTTAGTAGATGCAAACTACCCGGTTAAGGTTCGCATGATAACGCCAATCAATGATTGAAGACGTAAGATGTCATGAATCAGAATTGGTGGGACTAATGCAAGTGCATTCTTTTTTTATCTTCTCAGTCTTGAATCCAGGTGTCCCTTTACACACACTTTTCCGCTCCGTTTTACCAAACGATATTACCAAGCTTTATTATTTCTTACTGTTATTGCTACCACAGTATTTTGATGTCTGTTGTTATTTCCATCTGGTCGTACTGTGGTATGGGGACTTGGTCTAACACAGACCTGTACTAGGTTGTATGTTGATGATATCTATCTGTCTGCTTTTAATCAAACAAATTTTGAAATAACCTGACTAGCATGTGGATTTGTTTAAAAATATGGTAAAAAAAGATTACTAATATAGTTTATATTTGGTTTTTGCGATAGATAACGCCTGATACCCTGTCACCGGTAGTACCCACAGCCTTATCAATGTGTAACAACTCTAATTCATTCAAACGTGCACGTACATGGTTAAATAATTCACTTATTCTATGGGTGACATTATTACTCCCCAGCTACTTAGTCCTCACTTAATGGGTCGTACTGAGGCGAAAGCTATTAAGTAATTCCTTGATTTATTGTTCATTTAGTGGCCAGTACTACATGAAAAACTACATTATTTGGTTTGGACTATTGATAACACAGCTATGTAAAGATCGGGTTCATTTTAGTTGGAAAGTTTCTAGCAGTATCCAAAAATTTTAAGGTATTAATACGTTCCCCAAATCATCGACAGTTTTCGATGTTTAAGGACTTAAGCACTTACCCAACTAAGCTCTCTCCATATATATATATATATATATATATATATATATATATATATATATATATATATATATATTCGTCTTTTATTGGTGCTTATTTTCTTTTTCACTATTATAGCTCAATGTAAACGCACTGGCACATATGTAAACAACACTTGAAAGCAAAAAATAGCATTCGGAAAAATTTACTGTAAAACTATTAGTTCGTGGTTCCCTATTTCTAACTCTACATGGAAATGTCTTCTTGGTCCTCAGATTTTAAAGAACAATCAAGGTTGTGTGATGATCTAGACTGTGATATGGATTATTTACTCTCTGGAAGGTATGAAATACTGGCATCGGCCAATACCACTGTTCATTGTAATTCTGTACAGTCTGCATTTGCTTTACCAAAATCAACAAACTCATCCTTTTGCTCACCAAATCAGACACATCCTATAAATTCGATATTCCCTTGTAGAAAAGTCATTACATGCTCATGTCGGTGCTGTGATCCATTCTCAGATCACCTCAGTCATATGACAAGTAGAAGTATAAACCAAGTACATGATAAAAATATTGACTTTCCGTGTATTATTATGGATGATAATGATGTTGATGTTGATAATGGCGACGATGAACAGCCTAAATTAAATTTAACTGATCCATTAATGACGGATATTGCGGCTGGGGAATTAGGTTAGTATATTGGCTTTATGTTGTTATGTTTCAACTGAATTGAACTTTATTGTTGCGGATTTCCACTAAAACAAAAATGTATACTTGTTTTTAACTTAAAATATGTACATGATACTCTACTAATTGTTTATGTAGATCATTTACTAACTTCTACGTATTCATTACCACTAGCTGTTTTTGTAAGCTACCACATTTACTTTCCTGTACTTTATACTTACTCGGGCTGAACCATGATTATCATGTAACATAGCACTAACCACCTGCTCACCATATTTACATAATAAACTTCGAAGGTAAAGGTAAATCCTAGGCTAAACGGATGGTCTACAAAACAACTTCATCAAACCCTGCGTCCATATTTATGTGGACGAATAAACTCCGTAATTTCATATCACATTGCAGTATTTTTTAGAAGTTTGTCGACATTTATTTTGCTTCAGAAAACTTTTCAAACTTTTCTGGCCATACAATGCGCTGTGGATGACTCTTGTTTGGTCTAACTTAGAATCATGATACTCTATAAGACATGGACTGATTTTAAAAGACTGAACATCCAGTACTCTGTGATGGTTATTCCTGGTTTTCGGCTGTAAGACATGACTTCAAGGTGAGAATATTTAAGGACTTCCTGTTCGATTATTGAGTGGATAAACCGGTACCCAGTAAATGAGTTACACTTGTACTATACATTAGGTTTGGCTTAAGGTCTAGTATATGAATCAGTATTTGGTTATTGAGTATCATTATTTAAGCTAATATAAGTTTCATGAAAACCACAGAATAAATACAGATAACATCATGATATAACCATTGAACTCTTATGAATGAACTCCTATTTGATTATTTTATATATTTTTCACCAGTTCATGTTGTTGATTTCTACTAAACTAGTTTAAATGTGTTTCCTTGTTAAGATCTATAATTTCGTCATACATGAGCCATGACAATTCAGCAATAAGCCTGTTTTTAAACACTTATATTTTGAAGATAGTCATTAATTCATTGATATGGGGTGAAGCGTAACCCTGTAGTCTAGCTTCCGAATTAAATTGCCTGTAATTATTTTACGAGTGTTAGAGATGTGGAAGATTTTTTAGAGGTATATGTTCAGAATAAATTTCCGTAAAGTATAACTGCCTTCTTTTTTATCCATGTGTCGCTCTCTGACATAAGCATAGGGTTGTTTAAATATTAGGCATACTCAATGACTTTTTAGTTTTATTTGAACATAGTTTAGTGAAAACACAATAAACTACAAGAAACAGTGTCAGTCACATTGATTCAAAAGGTGACAATCATGATAATTGTACTTAAAGTTAATATGTTTAAAACCTGTTTTTTTAAATACCTACGGTAATTACGAATAAAAACGTAAGAAGAAAAGTAACCAAAACCAAAGGAAAATACTCATCCTATTCCAAATATGTACAAATACAGTATAGTAAACTTTTTATTTCTTGAAGACAAAGGAAATGGGACGAACAAAACAAAGATTATTGATAAGTTCCAGTGTATTTATAATAATAATAATAATAATAATAATAATAACCAGATGACTTTATTCACCTAAACATTGATGACTATGTTTTTTAAGAAATTTTCTAGTGAACACCATAAGCTATAATCTTTTTGGTATTGGTTTGTCGTAATGATTTTACTTTTCTGTATCACTGAGTGAAGTGGATAAAAAACATCATGAAGATAAGTCAGTAGTAAACTGGTAGTATTCAAGTACTCACCTTATTCCGTGGTGTTTTTTTCAACCAGTTGTTTGGAAACCGTCAGGTGATATGGTAGGAACTCGGTTGCAATGACACCGTTTCATTACCAACTTTTTACATTGTATATATTTAATCTTTTAATAATGAGATCATTCGTTTTGCTGTGATCTTAGGTAAACTTTGTTTATAGTTGTTGATCTCTTTCCATGAATTTATCGACGCACAAGTTTACTTTTATTGCCTAACCTTTACTGGATACATATTTATATCAGTCGGTCAGTCAGTCAGCTACAACGTAGGACCAGGCACATATATGCATCGGTCCACGTTGCCATACCTCATTGACACAACAAGATGTACACCAGATTCATAAAAGTAGTTAATTCAGTGGTAGTAGCATATAAACGAAAGATTGCAATAAGGATATAGTACAGGAAGAAAGAATTAGTTCGTAGAAGTAAAGATATGAAGCAATTTTAATCTCTTAGTTTAAGGGAAGATAGAGATTGTATACACCGACGCCATTGTGATCGATTCTGAACCATGTTACCCACAGTCTCCAACCATTGGTTACGATAGTCACGCGGACCCAAACCAAGTAGTCTGCATCTGCCAACATGGCTCAGACTAGAAGTTAGTGACTTCAAGGACTGATGCCAGGTTTTGGTTTGACAGCCTCTAATATTCTTCAGACCGTCCACAACACCGGTTAGCATTGCACATCGTGGTAATCGGTGTTCAGGCATAAGTAACACGTGGCCCAACCATCTCAGTCGATGAAGATTCACAACCTCATCAACTGATTTACCATCGTTCCCTAATACCCTGCATCTAATCTCACCATTACTTACCCGTTGATTCCAGTAGATGCGAGCAATATTTCTAAGACATCTGTGGTCAAATATTAGTAGCTTACGAATGTCTTCTACTCTTAATGGCCATGTTTCGCTGCCGTGAATTAAAACAGAACGGACTGCCGCGCAGTATACTCGTCCTTTTATTGATAGACGGATATCTCGCCTTCGCCGTAAGTGACGTAAGTTGGCAAAAGCCAAACGAGCTTTTCGAATCCGTGCTGAGATTTCGTCAGACACCAACCCATTAGGGCTGATCAGACTTCCAAGATAAGTGAAGTTGTCAACGCGTTCGACTACTACATACTTAGATTATATGTATGTGTTTACATATTGATCAACTATTAGATACATGTGACTTTTGAACGTGAAATAATTACAATCATATTATTAGTATACATGTATACATCCTGACATAGTTATTCCCCATAATTATCTTATTTTTTTTACATGTTATGTATAGTATATGTGATGCTTGTTTAAAAATTCACATATTGTAACTTTTGGTATATATTCTTCTTTGAAATTAATATTTTCCTGGTGATTGAAGTAAATTACACCTTTGAATAACAAAATGATTAACATTTTTTTAAATGAGAAAACCAAGGAAAATTAGTCATGATTTAATTTTTAAAACTAATAATTGACAAGTAAGCATCTGAACGAATAAGTTATTGGTTATTTTGTCTTATTTAAAATATGCAGAAATTCTAACCGTTAAAAAGTTCACGGAACTTTAAATGATTTATGCATATATATATGCCTTCTATTCTTAGTCGCTAGTCATGTCTAGATAATGATTACTCCGACTCGCTATGTTCTATAGAATAGAAGTAGGTTAGAATGAGGTTTAGACAGGTGGAGGCAGATTCATAGAAGTTATCATTCCATGCAATTATTGATTATTCATTTGAACAATTTTATGATTTACGAAATTAATAGTTGTGGTCTATGAGATTATCATGATGTATAATTTCAGACCTTCAGTGATATGGGTGGAAATTGATGATAGATATACTTTTCCTTCATATTATTCTAAAACTTAAGTCTCAATATTAGCTGGTATCTTTCTTCTCCCAGTTCCATTTGGACCTATTTAAATATATTTCTTTTATTCAGCTTTTGGCTACTGTTGATATTATCCTCTTGTCGTAATCACTCTCTATCTTGTTAATTTGCTTTCGTTGTGTCAAATATGAAATGTGACAAATTCCACTGAAGACAGATGTGAACAAAAAAGCGAAAGTAAGAAGTCAAAGAATGAATATTTTACTATTGTTATCATCGAATTTTAACCGTATCATATTGTCTCCAAAAATTGAATACTATAAGTTTGATAACATTTGTTAGAAAGCGTTTATTTCCCTACGCAACATAGACCAAAAGTCAACACTGTCACGATTTTATGTTACCATTAAGTCTGATCATCCTTGATTTTTCCCGACCATTGTTGCTACCTTGACGTGGTGGTCAGGCTTGCTTATCGTGATGAACCAATCGACCTGCACTGGCTGGAACAATCGTTCCTCAAGGTCCTACCATGTCAGACAGGTCATTTGAAGAGCGGTAAGACTAAAAGCAACAAACCAAAGATCTGAGGGTGAATTCATACAGAGGTGTAACGGCAGTAAGATGTTTCCTTCAGAAAACCAGCATAATAGCGATGCTGCCTTCCCACAAGTTGGGCTGGGGTTAGAAAAGGTCGACCCCAAAAATGCACACCTCGCCTTATACCACGGGTATCCGTCTCCGGCTGTAAGATCTCAACAAGTACAGAGCTAACACTAAAATTACCCACAAAAAGGTTGTGTGTGGTCGACATCGAGCAGTTATCCCGTGGGCACTGTGGTCACGCTATCAGGTCAATAAGACTACCTTTAATCCAATTTCTTTTTCACGTACCTCCAGAAGAATCCTTCCATGGTGTGAGCAACCGGGAAGTGATAACTGCCCTCATACCTCTAACAGCATCCATAATCAACCTCCCTCTTCAATGCCTATTAATCCTCCTACATTGACTTTCAACGCTAAACTTCCTTTTTTGGCGTCCCCCTCAAGTGTCATCATAGCCAACGACTCTAGTGCGCGAAACACTGTCCCAGGTCTTCTGAAACCTCGCTCCAAACTACACATTGCTGCCTTCAACCTACGCGCTCTGTGTCAAATCGGTCTGCAAGCCTCCTTGGTTAACACCCTAGAATCTCACACCATTGATGTATTCTGTGTTTCCGAAACACGCATACAGGATCCTAGTGTGTTCATTCACTTTACCTCACCTCGCTGAAATGGCGAGCCGACGAGATACACCCTCTGTGTATCTGGCGACCCGATGGCAAGTTCTCGTGGGCCGGTGGGTATAAGCATAGCACTAAGCATGAGGGCAGAACAAGCGCCATTAGAGTGGATCCCCGTTAACAGCCGTCTA